GCTAGCCTTGAGCTGAAGAGCTGAGGGACAGCGCCCAGGCCCAGAGTTCAGGCCCCACGACTGGACCCAAAAAACAAAAAACAAAAGAAATATACAAGCTACAACTGGGAATGTGGCTTAGTGGTAGAGTATTTGTCTAGCACATGAAGCCCTGGGTTCAATTCCTCAGTACCACATAAACAGAAAAAGCCAGAAGTGTCACTGTGGCTCAAGTGGTAGAAGCAAAAGAAGCGCAGGGACAGTGCCCTAAGTTCAAGCCCCCCAGAATTGGCAAAAAAAAAAAAAAAAGGAAGAAAGAAAGAGAGAGAGAGAAAGGAAGAAAAAAAAAAAGAAATATACAAGCTATGTCAAGTGCCAGTGGCTCACACCTATAATCCTAGCTGCTAAAGAGGCTGATATCTGAGGATCTCAGTTCAAAGTCAGCCCAGGCAGAAAAGTCTCCCAGAGACTCTTATCTCTAATTAAACACTCAAAACCGGAAGTATAGCTGTGGCTCAAAATGATAGAGCATTAGCCTTGAGCTCAGAAACAGTGCCTAGGTCCCAAGTTCAAGCCTCATGACTGACAAAAAGAGAAAAAGAAAAAAGAAACATACAAGCTTCTCTAGAAAGAAACAGTGAGCAAGAACTCTCACTTAAGGTGAAGATGATTAAGATGAAGTAAATAAGTTGAAGAGAAGTTAAGGGGGAAAGCAAGAACAAATGGTGTGAGAAGTAGAGCAGCATCAGAAAAGAATGCAGTCACAAGCTCAAAAGAAGACAACAGGAAACTGGAAGTGTTCCAGAGGAACACCCACAGGAAACGAGAGAATTTAAACTAAAAAGAGCCATTGGATTTTATTATAGAGCAAGAAAGATAATATTGGAGAATGTTAGATATCTATCCCCCTCTCTCTTTTGCATTAATTCTTCCATCCATTGGTCCAGTAAAGTTTCATTTAACAGTTGGGTGCCAGTGGCTCATGCCTGTAATCCTAGCTACTCAGGAGGCTGAGATCTAAGGATCGTGGTTCAAAGCCAGCCAGGGCAGGAAAGTCCGTGAGACTCTTATCTCCAATAAACCACTCAGAAAACCAGAAGTGGCACAGTGGCTCAAGTGGTAGAGTGCTACCTTGAACTAAAGAGCTGAGGGACAGCGTTCAGGCCAGAGTTCAAGCCCCATGACAGACCAAAAAAAAAAAAAAATTCATTTAACACCTACTCTAGGTCAGGGTCTATGCTAAGCCCTAGAGAGACATAAGAAATACAATAAGGTCCTCTTGGCCTGTGAGGCTCATGACCCTTGCTTGCTAGGGAAAGTTACCATGTACCAGGGCAGGGTGTTTTATTGGAGCTAGTACTGATTGGCTCTCTGAGCACATTTAATGAAACTAGAACTAACGTCCAAGTCTAGAGGTCAACAAGACTTTATTATATTGCTCCAGGCTGGCAGGAAAGCAAAAGGGAAAGTGCACGTAGCCTATTATTATTGCATCATTTCTGTCTGTTCATCAGTCAGAGATGAGATTCTGGGTTTTTCCAAAAAATTGGTTTCATCTGCTCAATGACAGAAAATGACATAGCAATAGTTCAATCAAAGGTACATTCCCTAAAAATATTCCCCAGACTTGGTACTACTTATTATTTACTCAGAAGAGACTTCCTTTCATATCTACATTGTATATTACTAACTAAACTATTGCCCCACTATATTATTTTCTGTCCTTGTGTTCTGGAACAGCATGGTGTGTTCAAAAGGTCAGAGTCACAGCCCTCTGGAAATTAATAGATGTCAGTGGGGTTGGGACTTGGCAAAGGCAGAAACATTAACCAATTACAAATTTATTTTACCAGGTTTTGATTTAATACCCACTTTATAAATTCCATTTTATTTAACACATATTCTTTTGAAAAAAAGCTCAGTGAGGTGGTGGTGATAATGCAGTACAGGGAGTTCTGAAGTTCAAGACCAGCTGAGAGATCCCTGTCTCATAAAACAAAAAAAATTAAGGCACTTTATGTTTAATGTCCTTGAAAAACAGTATTATTTAAAGAAACTCTGCCCCTCAAATTTCAAAATAAAACTAGCCATTCTTCGGGAGAGGGGTGGGGAGAATTAAATAACTATTTTAAAACACTTCCTACATTATGTATGGGATTTTGAGTGTGCTTTTTTGTAGGAGTGAAGACGTAAATGATGCAAACTAACGGCCTAAACAGCTTCAGTCAGGCTTTGGTTCTGGAGGTCTGGCCTGACATGAACAAAAGCAGGAAAACAAGCTCCTAGGAGCCTTGTCTGAGAGAATGTTCTCCAGGGACTCTGAGCTCAGATCTGGATCTCCCCCAGGGTTTCCAGCACAAGTCCTAGAGGACCTGGAATGGATTAGGCAAGAAGCAAGGCAGAGTAAATCGTCTCTCCAAAATTTGCCTACCCTAAGGTGTAAATAACAAGTACAGTCCCAGATACTTAAAAGCAAGCACCGTCAGCTAAAAGCCGGTAGAACAATCACTACTATCACCTCCATTTCTCAGATAAGAAACTGAGTCCGAGAGATCTGGAACAATTTACCCCACGTCAAAGGCTAGAAAGCAGAGCTGTTGGAAGCCGTCAGGAGTGTCAGTAACACGCCCTAACTTCACTGTTCAGAATGAACGCTCACCTTTGAGACCAAGCAGGGCCTGTCTAGGAACCTGGCAACTTATCAATAAGGAACTGCTTTAGGAGAAGGCTGTGTGAGTCGAAGGTGAGTTGACTGTGCGCGAGGTAGAGAGGTCAACGATCTCCTGACAGCGGACCGAAGCTTAGAGTGGGAGTACTTCCCCCTCCCGGGTCAGAGCCCCAAAGTTAGGGATGGCGACTAAGAACACAGCACGAACCCAGAGGCAGCCACGTGGCCCGGTATCAGCGCCGCTGGGTGGTCAGAGGGGCGGGGCCAGAGATTAGGGCGGCGGAGCCTGGCGTTGGGCGGCGCGTGGGACGGAGTGCGCCTGCGCGGATGGGCGGGGCAGGGGCGCGGTGGAAGGCCAGCCCAATGCGTTAAAGGCGGCCCGCAGAGCTCGGGGTCCAGCTCGCGCTGCGCAGGCGCGGACTCTCTCCTTGTCAGTCGGGCGCCTCGTGCCGGCGGAGGCTCAGTAGTAGCAGCGGCGGCGGCGACCCGTCTTCAGCACCATGAGCAGCTTCAGCAGCGAGGAGCGCGCCGCGCCCTTCACCCTGGAGTACCGCGTCTTCCTCAGTGAGTGCCTGCGGCCTGTGGAACCCGGCCGTCTCCCCGTCCGGCCGCCCATTCATTCCCGGCCTGGCCGCCCGCGGGCCGCGGGTCTTGAACGCCCTCCCGGGGAAGTGTGTGCGGGACTGGCTACCCATCCTCCCTTCACCTCCCCGCGGCGGCTGGACGGCGGCAGGCGCCCTCTACCCTCCGTCCGTCCCGTTCTCCCTTCAGGACTTGAACTCGAACCCGAGGCGGGCTGGGTCTGGGATCGCAGGGAAGGGAACTGAGTGAGTCACCCTGGGAAGGTGCTGGAGGTAAACCGGCCCCCTAAGCGGATTGCTCCGGGCTGGGCGGGGCGGGGCTGCGAGGCCGGCGATCGCACCGCTCGGGTTCCGACGGTGGGCGCCGAAAGAAGTCAAACTTCCCCTCCCCCCTCGGCCTCCAGGTGGGGGGAAACTGAGGGTCGAACCTGCGGGATCCACGCCAGCGAGGAGCGCTCGAGCCCCTCGCGCCGGGAGTTTGTTCGTAGCGGGGATGCTGGGAAACTCCTTAGGAAACGGGGTGCTGAGTCCCCCCCCACCCGCACAGGTGACGTCAAGGGAGGCATTTGCACCGAGTTGTTACCCGCTTGCAGAGGGGGGCGTCCAGGGGTGCAGCCCCCAGTCCCGCCCCGCAGCCAGGGCGGCGCGCCCCCTCCCTTGATACTGCTTTTTCTTTGTAGGTACAGGAAACGCTACCTTTCTCCCTCTCCCCTGCCCCCACCAGCTACTAAGAAGAGACGACTGGCACTAACCCCTACAAAAATGTACCTCCCAGGGCCCTCCTGTTTAAACATCTGTCCAGTTTTATTTGGAAGACAATGGGAAGAGTAGGATGAGGGGAAGTTGATGCAAGGACTAGCAATACTGAAATAATGAAGAAAGAGTGTAGTCTTGGTAATGTGGGGAAAAGGAAAGTGAATGTGAAGTTCACATGTCTAGGGGCGGATTAAACTGCTCAGGGAAAATCTAAGAAGGGTGTGTGTGTGTGTGTGTGTGTGTGTGTGTGTGTGTGTGTGATTAAACTGCTCAGGGAAAATCTAAGAAGGGTGTGTGTGTGTGTGTGTGTGTGTGTGTGTGTGTGTGTGTGTGTGTCCTGAAAATTGAACTCATGGCCTAGGAGCTGTCCTTAACTTTTTCACTCACAGCTAGCTCTCTACCACCTGAGCCACAGCCCCACTTCCTCCCTTCTCAGTTATTTCATAAAAAGTTCTGTAAATGGTTAACTGAAGTAAGCCCAATTAAAAACAATTTGATCACATTTTGTACAACAAGCACTGCTCCACTCGGGATACAAGACATAATATAGGTCAATACCTGTCAGAAGCTTAGAGTGTATGGGCTAAAAATCAGTCTTCAAGAAGGGTCAGGAAAGGTGAAATTTACAACTAGTTTTTAGCTGGGCATGGTGGTTCATGCCTGTAATCCTAGCACTTGGGAAGTAAGAGCCATGAAAATCAGGAGTCCCAGGCCAGCCTGAGCTACAGACTGAAACCCTAAGGGCTGGGAAGGTGGCACAGAAAGTAGAGCGCTTGCCTCACATGCATGTGGCCCTGGGTTCGATTCCTCAGCACCACATAAACAGAAAAAGCCAGAAGTGGTGCTGTGGCTCAAGTAGTAGAGCAGTAGCCTTGAGCTGAAGAGCTGAGGATCAGCGCCCAGGCCGAGTTTAGGGCCCACCACCAAAAAAAACCCAAAAAACAAAAACAGTAAGACCCTACCTCAGGATGGATGGATATAGGAATAAAATCTTGATATTAAAAAATGTGTGCTTTATGGTTTTTTGGGGGTGGTTGTTGTTGCTTTTCATTTATGGGGCTTGAAATCAGGGCTTGGGTGCTGTCCCTGAACTCTTTTGCTAAAGGCTAGTGCTTTATCACGTTGAGCCACAGCTCCAGTTCTGGTTTTCTAGTGGTCAATTGGAAATAAAAGTGTCTCACAGACTTTGCTGCCCTGGCTGGCTTTGAGCCATGATCCTCAGATCTCAGCCTCTGGAATAGCTAGATTTACAGGCATGAATCACTAGCACCCAGCACTTATATCTAATGAATCACAATAATAATTATTTTCTATTTATCTTACAGAAAATGAAAAAGGGCAGTATATATCTCCATTTCATGATATTCCAATTTATGCAGATAAGGTAAGGAATCGTTCTCCTGAGCATGCTCTCTTTACTAAGGTTAGCTGCTTGTGTATGTGACTTTTCTTACATGCTTCTTACTGAGTATTTAAAATGCTTCATTGTGCTGTGAGTTAAAGGTTTGTTGCTTCAATAAGAAGTCAGTTTAAAACCAGAACATTTGGTTAAAGAAACAGTTGTAAATTAGAGAAGGAATAAAGGAATAAAACCAAAGGTTTTTAACCTGCCTTGTTTAGAAAAAAAAATGGTTTGTCTTTTCTGCATATATACTTGGAACTAATATTCATTAGTGGTTTTAAAATAAGCCAGGTATCCAGCACAGAATTTTGACTGTGGAATGTTTAGTAAACAGTAGAACTAAATTAGATATTCAATGAATACAAGAAAAATCAGTACTTTTAGTGAGCTTGAGAGAGATTTGCAAATAGTGTTAGTACACAGACCTCTAAAAAGAAATGTGTGTTTCTATATTCACTACTGGGTTGCAGAAATTCAACTTTAGCACAGATTGACAGATTTATTAAAAATCAGTAAAAATCTTTACTATGTATATGTATATATTGCTCTGACTCAGAATTTTTTTGGGGGG